TATTGGATTACGCTTTGAAACCAAACGTGGGGTCATCCGTCGCTAAATATGATCATTATTGGGGCGGGTGCATGGTTGGGATTGCCGATTAAGGCTTCGGTTCATATTACTTTAGAATGGTTGTGGTCAATTACGTTCCAACAGCTATCGTACCTGGTTATTAGTGCAGGCGGCAAATGATAGTGGCAGCTCTCCCCAATACATCTGCCTGAAAAAAACAAGGCTCAACATAAGTGAATTAGACGTAAACATCCCACAATTTGACACGCCGTCGTGGTCTCAACTAGTAAAAGAAACTGTTGCCTAGTCCGAAAAGAAGGATATTGAAGTGCTCCTGAAGGTACTGCTCACGATGAACCACTGCTCACGATGAACCATTGGTTTGTAAACTAAAGCCACCCACCCGGTATACCGTGTGTTTTGCACCAGATCAACCCATTCATGTTCAAGAGAGTCCGTACGAGACGCTTTTTGATCGTCAGCGCAGAAGAATGATCCGTAGCATCTGGAAAAGTTGATTTCGTTTACATTGTTATTGATAGTTGCTGAGAAACTTTGCTGCTACTTTGCTTGCCAAGGAAAACTGGGTGCTGTTATTTGAAAAATGCGCAAAACGCAATAAACGCATTTTTTAGGCGCAAAACGCAATAAAAAATTACTTAGTTAACTTAGGTATCTAGTTTCCTTTTTTACGGGACATTTACTCCGTGTACGCTCAGTTGAACCAGCCATGCGCATCAATTGCCTACAAACATTAAAGGCAGTTGGCACGATAAATCCCCCAAGACGACTAGGATCAATACTCCTGGCAGGATAGAATTCCGCGACCCTGGGCAGGCGCTGCATAGCGGTTTCCCCGAGGAAGGTGCCCTTATAAGGGCCCTATCAAGCCACAACTTTACGTCCCAAACGCCCGCCACGCCCGCCCGCCCACAAATGGACGACCGTTCCTGACGCTCGTATTCATTCATTTGCTAAGCAAATTATGAAGCGAAGGGATTGGTATGAAGCGGCCGTGATGCTGCATGCATACATGGGTACACATATGCAGCCGTATCTTCGGTAGCGGTGATTGGTAAGATGCCTACGGGAAACTCGTCCGAAATCGATTTACAAGTCACTGAGAACGGAGGCTTTTTCTTCGCAGGATTTTGACCGTTTCACTCCGTTCTTTCGCCATTTCCCCACTATACAGCGCCCTACTAGCATTTTAGGCTAAGTAGGAAACCATCGTGCCAACTGCCTTTAAGACGTTCACTATGGGCCAAGATCGAATGGAGTAGCGATGGTACTTAAAAACGTGGACAGGGTGGCGTTGTTTCTACAGGAAACGGGCACTTTTGATTTTGCCTAAGCGAACTTTTTATCATTCCGGTTCCTACATAGAGAAGGGAGATATATCATGTATAAATGGGGAAAATAAATGAAATATATAGTAGTATGGAATATTTCCATAGTTTCTTTTATCGAACTTACCGTTGATGCACATCGGCTCCTTTTTTGCACAGAAAATAGACCATTTCAACATCCTCATTAACAATTGCCTGATGAAGTGGCGAAAGTCCTGAAAACAGTAAACAACAAGATGGCTAGACTACAAGTTGATTTTTGTATAAATTTTTATATGAAATTAATGTATGTATTAATGTATTAATGTATTAATGTATTCAAATCACCGATTTTTTAAAGGCAGTTGGCACGATGGTTTCCTACTTAGCCTAAAATGCTAGTAGGGCGCTATATAGTGGGGAAATGGCGAAAGAACGGAGTGAAACGGTCAAAATCCGGCGAAGAAAAAGCCTCCGTTCTCAGTGACTTGTAAATCGATTTCGGACGAGTTTCCCGTACGCATCTTGCCAATCACCGCTACCGAAGACGGCTGCATATGTGTACCCATATATGCATGCAGCATCACCGCCGCTTCATACCAATCCCTTTGCTTCATAATTTGCTCAGCAAATGAAT